GTTATTTTTGCATCAAAGCAACATTTTATATACAGCTTCTGCCTGTTGTTGCTTCTTTTTTTTGTTTTTTTTTTCAATTCTTGTCAACTATACACTCCATTGGGAAGAACTGCGCATAGCAATTGTAAAATATTCAAAGTAAAGAACACAGGACGATTGCTTACAAACAAGAAAAAATCATGTTTAAAATAAAAAACTACAGTATATCGGTACCACAAATCGATTAGGTATCTACGAGAAGATCTAATTGTAGAGCTCTGTCAGAATATGACTTTTCTATAATTGTCATGCAGAATTATTTCCTTCATTAATAAATAATAATCAAGTCATCATAAACATTGACAATTTTCGATAGAATTATTATTTTTCAAATTGTGTTCATCTTGTAAAAGCCCTTCACATTCATCTTATTTCTCCTTCAAACAGCAACGCGAAAAAAAATATGAAGAAAGATTTTATTGATAAAGGTATTTATTCAGAGATATCTGAAGTTTCCTTTTGATTGTGTTTGGAAAACATAAGAAGCAGATAGAAATGAATTATAAATATGAGTTAAATTCTCCATTGATTTTCTCATAAACCTAACAAATATCTGTTGAGAACTACACAAGATAAATCAAAATTTGGGCGTGGATATGGGTAAAAGTGAAATAAATACCATACCAGGTGTTATTGGAGACGTAAATCGATTTTTTTAATGCAAAAATAACGAAAAACAAAGCACCATCACTGTGATGCATGCCTGATGTCTTTGCGTAAGCAAAAAAGTTTATTCCGCGAAAAAAAATTGTCTATAACGTTGATTGCATTACGATTCTGTTAGGTTTCTTCTGAAGAGTGCAATTATGACAAACAAGAAAAATCAACAAAAAAGTGCATTAACAACGCACAAACGAACGAAAGAAATCATTTTTTTCTTCGTTTTAGTGTCTGTACAGTGACTGACAATGTGAAGGTAGAAAGTGTAAATAAAAGAGTGCTGAAGAAACTCAAGGTCGTGCATTTCTTTTTTTCGAATGTGATTGCCATTCATTAATTGCTTTTTTCAATCTGTTGTCTCCAGAGTTCTACCGAGTTCACAAATTTAGATGATTAAGAAGGGTGTGGGTGTGGGTGTGGGTGTTGGAAAAGAGAACAGCAACAGGGTGTGGGTGTTGCTGTTCTCTTTACCAACACCCACACCCGCTGCGGGAACCATCAATTTTGTCGAGTACAAAAAATGTCGATCGTAAATTTGTCGAAAAAACCTTGTCGATTCGACAAATTTAGAATTCAAATTTGTCGACGTCGACATTTTTCAATAAAATTTGTCGAAGTCGACAAATTTGAATTCTAGTCATTTTGACTTAAAATTCAATTTATAATTACAAAATCAGACTGAACTCAATTCGAAAGTAAGTGTATTTCACATATATGCCTACCAGAGATGTCCATCGCGGCACGACCGCTGCCGCTACCGCCACCGCGCCGCTACCGCTGTGGCGGTGGCGGCGCCGTAGCGGTTGTTTTTTTCAAATAACCATCGCGGTGCGGCGCGGCAGCGGTCGTTTTTTTAACTAACTATCGCGGCAGCGGCGCGGTAGCGGTAGGTTTTTTTGAAAAATAATGCAAAAAATGCATGAATTCGAACAGAATTTCAATGTTGGTAAGTGCAAAACTATGAGATTCAACGAATCTTATCGATTGGTAACAACAGCTCTAGTCCTGAACAGTCACAGATCGTAAAATTCACAACATTATTCTAACAATCATCGCGGCAGCGGCGCGGTCGCGGCATGGTTATTTTTGGTGGCGTCGCGGTAGGTTTTCTGTTTTTATCACCGCGGTGCGGTAGCGGCGCGTTTGCTTTTTTCTTTTATCGTCGCGGCGCGGCAGCGGTCAGTTTTCAACCGCGATGGACATCTCTGATGCCTACCAGATCTTCCATTCGACTTCCCCCACCTGTGAATCTGTAGCTGTCACAAGCGCTTTTTCCTGCTGCTAGAAGCACACTTGAGCATGCTATTGGCGTTCTTCAGGATGTCAAGAGTAGTTTTTAATGATACTTCTAGCATCCTTAACTATGCTTTTAGAATTCTCAGGCATGCAGCTCGGCGCACTGAGCTGAAACTGTCACGTACCAACTCATCATCACACCATTCAACGTGAGTGTGAAGGTGAGGGCGAACAGCTAATGGTCACATCATGCGATGTGAGCATGGAAATCTTCAAACTATTGCGATAGCTAAAAGGTTGATTGTTTTGATTAGGAATTATTAAACGTTGAGTAGTTGGAAACTTGAGTACTTGAATTATAAAATTTCAAAAACCAAATAGTTTACAACCCGTAAAAGGTAAATTTTACTTTAAGATCCGAAGAAAAATTTAAAACTTGTAACGAATTCATGAGTTCTACACTACTTCGACAGCAACTTGAAACCGACTTCATTCGAAAAATGTCGACATCGACAAATTTTATCGACAAATTTATGATCCATATTTTTTGTATTCGACAAAATTGTAGGCACTCGCAGCTGCTGGTAAAGTACTAGAGTCCCCCCTGAAAAACCAAAATGAAGACCTTGTTTTTTTTTTCTCTTCACTTTTGACTTTTTGGGTTCTTGGAAAAACCAAAGCCCAGAATTTCAACCAAAGACTTTACACATTTATCGGTCCTATAGTCTGTGCAGACATTGTAAAAATATCAAGTTAACTTAAAAATTGAATATCTCGACAAAGTAAAATAGGGTGTGGGTGTGGGGGTCGTAGGGTTCGGGTAAATTGAAGACTTACAACCACACCCACCCTGAAATCTCGAAACGTCGACTAAATAAAATTAAAAAAAAAGAATTTTTCTTGTTGTATAAAAAAATGAATCTCTTAGCTGCTGTTAAAACTATCTTATATACATTTTTATTTCACAATTATTTTATCATTTATTATTAAACAAACAAGACAATATACAAAAAATCATGTTAACAAAATTTCTATAACTTCTCCATTGTTTTTGACATTAATGAGTTGTTCATTAATAATATTCATGGGATATGCTTGACGACGTTTTTCAATAATATCCTCACATGAAAAAGGATCATCGAGTGATGAATCTTCAAAATAATCAATTTTTAGATATGATAGATTTTTCAAGTGACTAAGAAATGTATCAATAATAGACACGCAATTGTTGAACGAAATTACTTGAAGTTCAATATGTATAAGTGATGGAAAACGTTCAACAAGTTTGGATGCAAAGCTTGAAGGAAAGTAAACGTCTTCTAATATTGTTTCGATCAGTTTAATTTGTTTGAAAACTGGAATAAGAGATGGATTATCAATAAATTTCGAAGGAATGAGTAATGCAGTCAACATTGTAAGATCGATCACGTTTGGACATGCTCTAAGTTAGAAAATAAAAACAATTTCGTCATTAGATTCCATTTCAATAGTAGAGACCAGAGGTCGAAACCGAATCGAGTATTCGACAATTCGACTCAACCGAATCGAATAGAACCGAATTACACATTGAAGAAAGTATGTTGGATCGAACCGAATCAAACCGAATTGATTAATAATAGTATCAAACAAATCGAGACGAATTAAATTTTCTTGATTCAACTATCAATAGCGTTCGAAGTCTTTTGTCGCCTCATCGAGTTTTCTACCACATTTATCTTAAGGATTTATCCTAATCTCTTCAAACACTTATAGTTTTACATCAGTCATTAAAAAGCTCGGATCCGATGCTGAACATGGACATTATTTCATATATCTCCAATGAAGGATACTGACTTTCCCACATAATTCAAAGGTTGTAGATATCTTATCTATCTCTTCCTTCTCCAGCTAATCAATATCGCATATATTTTTGGTAATTATCTCTATGATCCAAGGAAATTGTTAACCTTAAATCTGCATATAAATGGTGGCCCATAAGTAGCTTTACGATAAAACAACAAAAACATTTCCATTGTATTACATTCTATGAGATTAATTCTTTTCCGTGATAAAAGAGACTTTAGAGTGTTTTTTCTATAAGAATATCATTCAAAAAGATTGCTTTGAAAGATAATCATTAGCTTCCATGGTGAATTTTAATCTTTTATGGTATGTGAGAAAGTGCAGATAAAGTGATCAATAAATATTTTTCTAATTCACCTCATTCTTAAATTTTGATATATATGCAGTGGCTTTATATCATATATAAAAATCTTTTTATCCTTATGTTGTTTATTGTAGGCATGCGAAATTAGAATTCGAAAGACTTTTATTCACCATGCTATATGTACTTTCACGAATGCCGTAAAAGATTAAAATTGACTATAGAAGTTAATAATTATCCTCAAAGTAATCTTTTTGAATAATGTTCTTATAGAAAAAAAAACACTCTAAAGTCTCCTTTATCACGAAAAAAAAATTAGTCTTATAGAATGTAATACAATGAAGATATTTTTATTATCTTATTTCAAAACTAATTACGGATTACTATACAGATCTTAAAAGAAACATCTATGATACTTTTTTGCAACAAAATAAAACAAATCGCTTTTTGACTTCAGGATACTATTAGTAAAACTTCTATGTTGCATTCTCATAAAATTGAACAAATGAAAACCAGAATTGAGTCGAATTAGTTTAAGAAGCAATCGAACTGAATCAAATTCTTTCTCAGAAAAATTAGCACGAATCGAATCGGACGAATCTATATCTTTGTCAAATCGAATCATGATTTTTTTCGTTCGTTTCGACCCTTCCTAAAGACAAAACTTCGATAGATTTTTCTAGTCTCTCTTGTAAAAGATTTTATTTAAATTATGAAGAATAAGATACCTCTAGAAATATAAAGTATACTTACTCCAGAATAAATTGAGCATGTTTCCATCGATATTTATTAAACGACGACCCAAATTCTATTTGAGTTATCGTGGGTAAATGAACAAAATTTGAAAGATAAATAACATCTTCTTGTACATCATCATCACTTATTTGATGAAAATTAACTAAAAGAATTATGTTAAAAATAATACGAACAAACTCAGTGATTTGTACAAAAAAGCAAATTATTCTGACAGAATAAATTAAAAATAAACACATATTCTTCTTACCAATATCCAGAAGACTATTCAACAATGATGAAGGAACTATTGGCAATTCTAATCTAAGATATTTGATTTGTTGAAATAAAGGAGAAGAGCAAGTAATAGTTGATCTTTCAGATGTTATGTATATTCTTAATTCTATTTCATTTACATAAAAAAGATAATGATCATCTATTGTTGCCATTGTTGATCGTGTGTCAAAGTATCCACTAGGAATTAAAGGTATATATGTATGTATGTACGATTTGTGTTTATGATAATTCAATGTGCGTAGCATAACAAATTCAGCTAAAAAACAATGAAAAATTTAAGTTTCGAACACTACAAAAGATTATTTGTCCAAGATATTTCTTATTCTCCTCTTTTACTTAAAACTTAGTTATCAAGAAAAATTTTGTTTTGCTGTAAGTCTTCGTATTCACACTTTATTATCTTTTTCAACCTTTTAAATAAGTTTATTTACCAGAAGTTGAGGACTGAAGTTTTCATTGATCAATAATCATATGCCAATTAGAATATTTTCTAACAAAATGTTTGAATGAATCAATAACAATATCCAAATCGGTTGGTGGATAACATTTCCAAATTGACATATGAAATTCAAATTTCGATAAATATGGAACATAAAGTTCTAATATTTCTTGCCATACATAACCGTCGAGCAATTCAATAGGAAAGAAGTGTTTTGATATGTATGGTCCAAATGTAAAAAAGAAATACCTAAGATTAGGCATACAACGCAATATATAAGCAATTAAATAATTATTCCATGCAACAAAAAGTATCAGTTCGAGCGAGACCGCTTGTGATAATACAGGAAGATCATTTTCATTGATAGATGGTATTGTAATTGGAACACTAAAACAAAAAAAAAAGATTTGATTTTTAATTTCAAAGTTTTCTTTTCACAGACTTTTTCAACTAATACATTCCCTATCCAACAACTTACTAGATATTATTATTGTCAACCAGACTGTTCTCTTTCACTATTATGCCTATATAACGTACTCTATGACAAAGACGAAGAATTGCTAAAATTGAATGAATAGATGTGCTTGAAGGTGAATCATTTATACATAAATATAATAATGTAACATTTGAAGATAGTGAAATATTATTTGAAATATTGGAATAATCATAAGTATACAGAAGGACAATTGAACGAAGAGAAGATGATTTGTGCATAAACATAGTTCGGACTAATTCACATTTATCACTTTCATTCATAGTTTCATCATGTGGATTAAAAATATTAAATGAAACAAGTTTATCACAAGTTTTTATTTGTTTAATAACATTATCAAGTTTCGTTGATCGATGGACTGTGATAAGCATACAAAATTGAAGATTAATAAAATTATGTCGATTAAATAATAAACTAATCATAGATATATCATCACGAATTGTATCACTTATTTTTATTGAAATAACTTGATGAGCACGAAAAGTAAGATGAGAAGAAAGAAAATCAATTTGATTACGACAATGAATTTTTGAAACAAGAACACGAAGTGGAGTTGATTGTAATATCGATGCAATTCGTTTATTCAATGAAGCAAATGCAGTGAAAATATCAAGTGCATGTAAATAATCAAATATTTCGAAGAAAATCTCGTTTGATAAATCTTCTAAATGAGTTTGTGTATCCATTTCTATAAATATGAAACAACAGCAGGGCTGCCATCTGTACCCCATTTCGGGGTACAGTACCCCATTTTAACGTTTTGTACCTCAAAAAGATTTGTACCTCAGAGGTACAA